CATACGCACCTGCTCCCCTAAGCACACGCTGCTTTTCTCAGCCAGGCCAACCTCCAGCTGCCCAGCCTCGGGTCACCCTCAGGTCACCCTCGGGGCCCAGGGCAAAGCCTGAGTCACAGCTCCAGACTCAAGTGTTCGTCCAGGCTGTGGCCTGGTGTTTTCCATCCTCTGTCAAAACTGAGACCCCTCGCCCGCCCACCTTGCAGCCGTGGCCTCTGAGGCTAGAGATCCCGGGGTCCCCGCACCCTACCTTGCTGGCCAGGATGCGGGAGACCTCGTCGTCCACAGAGCCAGGGGCCACGGCCAGGTCGGGGTTGCTGCTGCTGATGCTCTTAGAGCGAGCCAGGTAGAGGCTCGCGGGGCGGCCAGGGCCACGGGCCAGCGTGGCGGGCTGTACCGCCATGGGAGGGGCCCCTGAGGATGGAGGGAATGTGGTCAGCCCCCTGCCCCTGATGCCCGGAGGACCCTGTGCCCCTCCCCAATCAGCTTGTCCTCGGTGGCATCGCTTTCTTTCTCTGAGCCTCTAGGATCCTCCCCTGTAAAACGGGGATGAGAATGGCTGCTGCCTCGTAGTGATTTAAAGGAGACTGAAAAACCCTGAGAACAGCGCCTGCGCGTAGTAAGTGCCCAGAGGGGCTCGTGGTTATTACTAATTACTTCACAAACAGAAAAGAACCCAACTTTACTGAGTGCTGTGCTGGGCACACTGTATGGATCACTGTATCATTTAATACTACCGGCAGCCCCATGATGGGGTTACCCTTATTATCTTTGTTTTACAAATAGAAAACAGCCCTGGAGAAGTGAAGTCACTTGCCCAAGATCACAGGGTTTATAGGAGGCAGAGCTGGGATTCAAACTCGGGCAGCCTATCTGAGTCTCTGCTTTGAGCAACTGAAGGTGCTTGTTGACTGGCTGAATGACCCACCACTGGTCAAGCAATAGAGACCACGACCCTGGGGGTATGGGGAAGAGTGAACAAAAACTCTCGTCTTTTGCAAGTTGCCCAAACCTGCCAAGGCCTGCACAGCCCCTGGGCCTTTGCACATGCTGTTCCCTCTGGGACTGGGATGCTCTCCTCCTGGATGTCTCCTGCTCCCACCCCCCCAGGGCCTCCCACCAGCACTCACCACTTGGGAGGCTGGGCTCAGTGCCCGGCAGGCGGAAGGCATAGTGGACATAGGCGGCCAGCAGCGGGCAGTGGCCACGGGCATCCTGGGCAGCCTCTAGGCTCCGGTGCACAAGGCTGACCACGTGGGCCATTGCTTCGAAGGCCCCACGCCCTAGGTTCACTGCCGGGCAGAGCACAGGTCAAGTTCCAGAGCCCTGGGCCTCCCGCCTCCCAGAAGGAACCTCTCACCTCCCACCTTTCCAAGGGGTTGTGAGGCCATCAAAGGGTCACAGCGGACCTGCTCTGAGCCCGGTGGGTTGGGAGCCATTTTTCAGAGAGGAACACTGAGGCCAGAAAGGAAAGTGAGCTATAGGGGGTCACCCAGTACCAGGGGACCAAGGGGCCCTTTTCCAGATGGGGAAACTGAGGGCTGAGGCTGCGGCCGCTCACCGATCTGGCCGCCGATGATCGGAGGCCGCACAACCAGACGCACGAGCTTGTCTAGCACGTGGTGGGAGAAGGCAACAAGCGGCTCGGGGCTGGCGAGGCGCAGCGCGGCGAGGCTGGCCCGCAGCTCCTGCTCCACCGTCCCCTCGCTCAGCACCGTGTCCTTGAGGCGGAACGGGAAGGCCCCCTCCTCCAGGACATGCACCAGCGTGAAGAACTTGTCCAGGTGAGGGTCCTGGGGGTGGGAGGGCCCGGGATGAGCAGGGAGGGGCCGGGGCTCCATGCTGGGGAAGGGCCTGGGGGTGGCGGGGGTGGGGGCGCTCCTCGGGCCGGAAACCAAGGCTGGGGATCAATGGACTGACTATGAAGGAGGAAAGGGATGAGCACTGGCTCGAGGGAGGAGAGAAGAAGGGTGACGGCAGAAGCAGGACGGGACAAACGTGGGGAAGAGAGACCCCGTGAAGGGCCAAGGCCCCAGCTGGGATGGTCACCAGCATGGCTGAGTCAGCAGCTTCCTGGGGAGCCTGGCCTAGTTGACCGAAGTCACGTCCATCCGTGGCCCGAGGCCAGGCCTCCCTGGTCAGCGGCAGCTGTTGCTCAACCCCAGGGCCGGGCTCCTGGGTCCCCCCCAACCCCTACCTGGGGGTGCACAGAGGACACAGCAGTGAGCTCCACGCTGAACACGCCCTTGTGACCGTCCACCCAGCGCATGCCCGGCAGCGCCACCTGCAGGAGGAACGCGCCAGGTGGGGACCGGCCCGCCCTCCCACACTGAGCGCACTGAGCAGCCTTTGCAACACTGTGGCTGGAGCACTGCCCCACCTGGGGGAGCGGCTGGGCCCCCTGCCCAGCCCAGGGGGGTGCAGATGGGAGGGGGCACTGTAGGGGTTCCCTGGGGAGGCTGCAAGCCCAGGACACTAACGGAGGAACAGAGAAAGGAGGCCCGGGGGGAATGTTATCGAAGGGAATGAATCGGGAAAAGGGCACTCGAGAGGACTTAAGGCCCGCAGAGCATTAATGACGGCTCAAGGGTACGTGGGAAGGTGACAGCATTAATGGGGTGATGGGCCCTGGGAGCACTACTGGGGCGATCGTGGTCAAGAGGGGACGCAGGATTGCTAAAGGGGAACCAGGCCAGAAAGGCAATGGGGAACAGTGAGTGCAAAGGCCAGGGGGTGGGGGGCGGTGAGAGGCAAGTGGGGGACAGAGAGGGACACATGGAGCAGTAATGGGGGTGACGAGGGGCCCTGGAGGTTGTAACAGAGGACAACAAGTGTCCCCAGGGGCCTGATGGGAAGGAAGGCAGGGCACGAGACGGGAGGGGAGCCCAGGAGTGTCATCGGGGGACAAGGCTCGGGGCGGTGGGGCAGGGACCAGGGCACGTACGTCTGGAGTGAGCACGGAGTAGCTGGGCGGGAGCTGGTCCACGGACACGGGGAGGCAGAAGGGGCCGGTCCTCAGGCGGCCGTGCTGCAGCAGCGGGATCCACTGGGGGGAGGCCGGGGGTCAGCTCCGGGGCCGCGCAGGGGCGAGCAGGGTGGGGGCGCGGGGGTGAGGGCGGCCGGGAAATTCACCGTAAAGCCCACAGGCGTCTCCAGGGCCGTGCCCGGCCGGGGCTGGCAGCTGACATGGTAGAAGGTGAACAGCAGGTGGTGGTTCTCGGTCACGCAGGCCGGAAGGCGCAGCTTGAACTCCTCGTAGAACTCTGGGGACCTGGCAGGGGGGTTCCGCTGGGGACTGCGAGCCCCTCGCCCTGCCCACCCCTCCCGGGCGTGCGATCCCCGTGCCGCCTGGCCCCCCGCCTCCAGTTCCCTCATTAGCTCTCCCGGAAGTGGCTTCCCCCCTCCTCTGCCCCATCCCTCCTCGGCCCCCATCCCTCCTCTGCCCTGCCCCCCGCCCCCGCGTACTTGTTGTGGTAGACCACCGGCGTGAAGGCCTCCCGGGTGAATTCGCTGCAGCTGGACTTGCCAAAGATGACCTGGGGGAGGGTGTACATGAGGGGCCCACCGGGGACGTCCTGCCCACGATGCCCCGCCATCCTCCCCCAGGCCCGGCCACTGACCGGCAGGGCCTGGCCGGGGTCCTCGCCCGCCATATACTGCACGCGCACGGTGAGGTTGCGCACGGAGCCCTGGCGGCTGCTGAAGTTGAGGCTGTGCGGGTACACGTACAGCAGGTTCCTGTGGGGACAGGGGGGCATCAGGGGGACAGGAGATGCTGGGCTGCTGGCACAAGCCCAGCCGGGGACCCGGGGGGACAGCGGCCATGCAGCTGGGGCACCAGGCGGGAGATGCGACTGGCAGAGCATGGGGGACAGACGGACACCCTCAGAGCACAGATGGGGGGACAGTGCAGATGGCGAGAACACAGAGGGACTTCGGGGGCACTATGAGGCATGGGGAGGGGCCAAGCAGGGACAGCTGGGTGCTCAGGCTCAGAGTTCCAAAAAGTGGCCCAGGTGGCCACCTGGGCGACCCGGCCCTCCCTGGGCTCAGAGGCCTGACCGCCCTTCCCCCGGGAGAAGCCACTGGGGTTATGAGGCTTGTCTCTCAGGTGGAGAAACAGGCCAGAATCAGAAGTGGGGCTGGGCTAACAGCAGAGTTCTGCCTCTCTCTCCCCCAGGGAAAACTCTGTGCGAGCCCCACCCTCCCTCTGGGCCTCTGATTCCCTGTCTGTATAATGGGGGCCCTGAGCCTCCCAGCTTAAATACCAGCAGTGATAAAACCGTGACAGTGACAATGATCGTGCCAGACGTTAACGTGGAGCCTGCCGCATGCCCAGCTCTGTTCCAAGCGCTCAGTGTGAAACAACACATTTACTTCTCTAAGCAGCCGAAGAGCTGGGGATGAACGTCACTCCCATTTACAGGCAGGAAAAAGAGGCGCGTGCCCACATTCAACCAGGGAGCAAAATGGCACTTAGCATTGGTCCGGGGCACACGTGGGTCCTGGAGCCAGGCTGTGTGGCCTTGGGAGAGTCTCCACCACCTGTACCCTACGCTCCCCCCCCACCCCCAGCTTTCAACCAGGCCAACCCAGACCCCAGCACCACAGGCCCACGGGCGGGGAGTGAGGAGCCAGCTACCATAATGGCAGCTGAAAACCCGTCTGGGCAAACCATCAGCGATCTGCTGCTGCTGTCCTATCACTGGACATTGTCATCCCTTCCACAGGCGGAGAAACTGAGGCTCAGAGCCACAGTTCCCCCAGCAGGGCCCGGGCTGGTGCTCTCCCGGTGCCCGCAGCCCACACCTGGCCCCAAGCCCCAGCCGGCGTGATCTCAGCGTGGCCTAGCCAGACGTTCGCCTGATGCAATGGTCACACCACCGCCAGCCCCTTGCGCAACACGGGGCGCACAGCTGGCCGGTTAACGATTGACCGCGGGTTAAGGGGCTGTCAGGGCATAAAAGGTGGTGGCGGTGGCGCCGTGGCCACACCCTCAGAGCCTCAGCCATGCCCATGCTCGCGCTGTTCCTCCTCTGCGTCCTGGCAACCGGGCTCCGACCCACCTCTGCAGCCCCCGTGGGGAGCCTGGAGCCAGCGCAACATGAGGAGCTGACCCTACTCTTCCACGGGACCCTGCAGCTGGGTCAGGCCCTCAACAGCGTATACAGGGCCACAGAGGCACGGCTGACAAAGGCTGGGCACAGCGTGGGCCTCTATGGCCACGCACTGGGGCTTCTGGGGCAGGAGGTCAGCCGGGGCCGGGATGCAGCCCAGGAGCTCCGCACAAGCCTACTGGAGATGCAGGTGGGCACTGCACGTGGGGCACTGCGGGGTGGATAGGAGTGTGCGGCAGACTTGTCTAAAGTAACCGACGGTCTGGGTTTGCCCAAGAGTCCAAGAGCCTTTGCTCAAGGCCCCGCTGGAATACAGGGACCCCTTCCTTAAAATGAGGCAAATCCCAGGCAAACGAAGATAAGCTGGTCATTCTACGAACATCCCCTATTTATTGATCAGGTGGAAGAAGACGCCCTAAAGCTTCAAGCAGAGGCCACAGCGCAGGCTCTAGGGGAGGCGGCCCGGGGACAGCAGGCGCTCTGGGAGAGCATGCAGCGGCTAGAAGTCCAGCTGAGGGGAGCCTGGCTGAGTCATGCCCAACAAGAATTTGAGGCCTTAAAGGTAAGAGGCTCCCAGCCCCGGTGGAGTTGAGGCTGATTTCCCAGGCAGAACTTGCTTCTGAACCTTGAGTCCCCGGGTCATCCCCAGGTCTGTCTCCCACTGCCACCGCCTCCAACCTATCTGACCTTGGGCCAAACTCCTGCCCCCTCCCATGCCTCCGTTTCCCCATTTGCAAACAAGCATGACGGCTGATGTTTCAAAGCGGAGCCAGGGACTCCGTACAGATAAAAGACTCAGCAGTGGGTACGAAGTTACTCAACGACTGTGTACGATTGGAGTTACTGGGTTCTATTTCTGCAGCGCCCAGGAACTACCCAGCCCTGCCCTTGAATAATCCGTAGTATATTCTTAACGATCCCACGAAGCGAGTCCTATCTCATCCCCCTTTAACAGACGGGGAAGTGGAGGTCAAAGAGTAGCAGTGAATGGTTACGTCCCACAGAGACAGCCGAGGGGCGGACAGTGCCAGGTGGGGTCAGGGGACGGGGGTGAGGCGGCCCCAGCTGAGGTTTCGGTCCTGACTGCACAGGCCCACGCTGACGAGCAGAGCCACGTCATGTGGGCCCTCACAGGCCACGTGCAGCGACAGCAGCAGGAGTTAGCAGCACAGCAGCACCGGCTGCGCCAGATCCAGGAGAGGTGAGCCTGGCGGGGGCGGGACGCCCAGGACAGCTCGAGAGCGGGGGCGCAGGGCAGCTGGGTGGGGGCCCCTGGGCCTCGGTTGAGCCGGATCGCCCTCCCAGACTCCACACGGCGGCGCTTCCAGCCTGAGCCTGCCTGGGTGCAACTGAGGACCAGTCACACACCGAGGGACCCTTCCGTGCCCCGTGCGGACCATGCACAAGGAGCCGCCTGTCCGCCACAGTCAGCCAGGGGGCTTCTGGCCAGGGAGCAGAGACGGAACGGGCGGGGACACAGGCAGAGGACGCGGCCCCATCGTAGAGCCGTGGAGGCAGGACACGTGACCCGTTACGCGTACCCTCCCCCCATTAAAGCAGAGTAGTGGTATCTCATTCTGCGTGTCTGTGCATCTGGGAGAAAGGGTACCTTGCCTTGCAGGATGCAAGAGTCCCCCCCGCCCCCCGTTCAGGTGCCCAGCTGGGCCCTGGAGGCCGTACCTGTAGCTGGTGTGTGGGGCATAGACCTCCCGGGCCGGGAACTCCAGGATCTCCTTGGTGGGCCGGCCCCTGGGGTCGGGGTAGGGCTTGACATGAAGCAGCTCCGGGGAGAGGCAGAAGTGTGGGTTCTCAGGGGCCGGAGAGATGTCGATCTTGAGTTGGGCTGGGGAGGGAGTGGGGGGTCTGCACCTGCCTGGGAGCCTCCCAGCCCCGCCCTGCCCCACCCCACCCTCACCAGGCTTCAGGATCAGAGCTCTGACTTCTCCATGATGCCCTCTAGTGGCTGTCCTTTAGGTGCAACGGCCATCGGTCACCCTCAATTGCTGTATCTTGCCCCCACATTTGATCACCTCTGCCCTGGGGACCCATGTCCCCACCGCCACCATGTCCCCCATTTGCCCCACTGTCTTATTATGTTTCTTGTCAATGACTCCCATCATCATGGTCACCACTAGGTCCCCAGGGTCTGGCACAGCAGGTCCTCAGTTTGGGGTTGTTGAGTGACTGCGTGAATGTGACACCTCTCACTCAGAAGGTGGACCACGCACCAGTCACGGGCCGCAGGCGCCGCAGTAGAGAAGATGGGCGTCGCATGTCAGCCAGGAACTTGAAGAGGTCCTCGTCACTGAGCCGCTCGGCTTCCTGCACAGGACAGGCGCACGTAAACTGGGTCCCCGGGGCCTGTGCGCCCACAGCGGGGTAACAGGGGTTTGTGCCTGGGCACTCCTCCCTCGGGCCCCACGGCCAGGACACCTGCCTGCTTAAAGAAATTGGTGACGGTTAGCGTGGCTGGGCGGAATCCGGAGAAGCTGCAGGTGTCATCCCCACTACTCGTACGATCCTGGGGCCCCCGACGGCGGCGGTCAGTCCAGGCGGGTCGGCGCTCTAGGGGAAGTGGTGACAGTGATGGAGGCGGCCGAGATGAAAGACAGGAGGGGTGGCCCCGGGAGACACGGAGGCTCAACGTTGTACCAAGTCGAGCCAGCAGAGGGCGCACCTCCCGCTCCCCAGTAGCCCCGCCCCTGGCCTGCCAGCCCCGCCTCCTCACCGCCCTCGGAGTCCGAGTCGCGGTCCGTCTGCCCAGCGCTGCTCACGATGTTGGCCAAGTGCACGGCGGTCCAGGCGAAGGGCATGCGGTAGCGGCCCAGGCGGGTGCAGAACTGCTCGGCCGCCAGGCGCAGCTTCTCCAGCTTCTCTTTGTTCTGTGGGGAGACCCCCACACACACCGCCCACATGCTCAGTGCCCCTGAACCCAGGATGTGCCCCTGCCCGGAAAACCTTTCCCGGGCATGCTCAGCCTCCGCGCACCTACCTTGGCCGTGTCGGCCTCCTTCATCACCATGTACGGCTCGCAGCACTCGCTGACGTCCCCCTGCTGCAACACCTTCTCCAGCTGGGGGGCAAGCGGGGCCCGTGAGGTGCTGCCGGGACCCCAGCCTCCCACCCCATTCCCACCCAATCACCTGGACCCCTCCTGGGCCCTCCATCCAGCTAGGGCTCGCGCTCCAACACCTCCCATGGTTCCCACTGTCCTCGGGATTGAGCAATAGAAGCTGGCCTGCCCAGCCGGCCGCCCCTCCCCATCCTTTGAACCCACTCCAAACCCAAGTCTCCATATTTTCCCTACTTTTATACTTTTGTTAGTATAAACAGAGGCCACTCCAAGCATGGCTGGACTCCAATTGGGACCACCTGGAGGTTATGGGAGCCTGAGCAGGTCCCTAACCCACTGTGTGCTTCAGTTTCCCCATCTGTAAAATGGGGACCCTGGCAACCCCCACTTCCTGGGACTGTGAGGATTCAAGGTGTGAACCCCTGGGAACCCTGACTGACCATGAGCAGTGCCTGCCTGTACGTGCTCAGTTATTCCCATTAGCGTAACCTAAGAGAACGTTTTGGGGAAGGAAATTTGAGATCGCTCCTAGCAACAGAAAATCTCACACAAATGTGCCAACTAGGTCTTTCTTCCCCTAACAAACTGAACAAACTCCCAACTTAAAAAAAGTTTCAAGGGGCGCCTGGGTGGCTTAGTCGGTTAAGCGTCCGACTTTCGCTTAGATCATGATCTCGCAGTTCGTGGGTTCAAGCCCCGCGTCGGGCTCTGTGCTGACTGCCAGCTCAGAGCCTGGAGCCTGCTTCAGTCTGTGACTCCCTCTCTCTCTGACCCTCCCCTGCTCACGCTGTCTCTCTCTCTCTCTCTCTCCTAGAAATAAATAAAACATTAAAAAAAAAATTAAAAAAAAAAAAAGTTTCAAATGTTCATCTGCATGTGCCTGGATGCTGTTTCTCCCCAGGCCGCCCCACTCGTGGGTCTCGGCCTGGCAGTCACCTCTCCACGGAAGCCCTCTGTGATTTCTCCCCATTTGGGTTGTATGAGGAGGCTCTTCTGGCCTTGCCCAGCTGCCCGTGTTCCCCCACAACACCCTCATCGCCCTTCTTGATGACATGTCCATCTTCCTCCATGAGAGCAGCACCCACACTGCGTTTACCGTTATCTCCCCCTGGCCCAGCCCCCGCGAGCACCTTGATGACCAGGAAGATATCGGGCGAGGGGTAGGTCACGGAGAAGATAGCAGAGCGGGCCAGGGTGGAGATGGCAGGATGGGTGCCATGAGCCCGCAGTAGCCCCTTCATGGAGTCTGAGTTCAGGTCAAAGTAGAAGTTTTCTGAGATCTGCAGACACAAACGGCAGTTGGGCCACCACCTCCAGGAAGCCCACTGCCATGCACCAAGGAGGAGGGTCGAGGTAAGAAAGGGAAGAAACGGGCTCCTACCTTCTTTTTCTCCCGCACATCATACAGGGCCAAGATGCCAAAGATGGGCTCAATTTCGATTTCAAACCTACAGTGAACGGGGACTCTCTGGCAGAGTCTGTGGGCCCTAATACCCCCACCATCCATACACCCCGCTCCCTCTTGAGATCCGGTCCGGCCTTGGTGCATCGTGGGGGGGGGAGGCATCTAATTTCCATTGGGCCACAAAGAATTGCTGCTTACAGGCTTGGAGGAAAGGCCTGTCCCATGTTGCAAATGGGGAAACTGAGGCATGAAGCCCCCCCCAACCCATAACTCACACAGAGCCTTTCCCCCGAAAATATGGCCCTTCCGCAGATGGGATGGAGGAAGCTTTTGCCACCAGAGTGCCCCGCCTCGAGAAATTCTCAACTCCTGGACCTCCCTGTGCCCCACCCTCTGGGGTGCCCTCTGCCACCCAGGGATGAGCACCCATCTTTGCTCGCCTGCACAGTCCCTGTAACCACCTGCCCATCTTACTCTGCTCCTCTGGCCCCCACTCACCATGCGGGTCCTAAGGAAGTATCTTAAAACTTAAAATTATAGGGGTGCCTGGGGGGCTCAGTCGGTTAAGCGTCCGACTTCAGCTCAGGTCATGATCTCACGGTTCATGGGTTCGAGCCCCGCGTTGGGCTCTGTGCTGACAGCTCGGAGCCTGGAGCCTGTTTCAGAATCTGTATCTCCCTCTCTCTCTGCCCCTTCCCTGCTCACTCTCTGTCTCTCTCTCTCTCTCTAAAAATAAAATAAACATTAAATAAAAAAACAACTTAAAATGTGAGGCTCCCGCATGCAGGGAAAACAAAATCCTATAGGGCCCAGCCCCGCCCACCTCTTGGCCTCATTCCCCAACGTCTCCCGGCCTTTGGGTGCGCCCTGTCCTCCCACCTAGAGGGCCCTGTGTGCTCATCCACGGTCACAGGTCGGGGACATAGTCGGTAGTGATTGTCGAATGACTGGATATTCCCAGCCCTCATGCTTGGGACGGGCGGCCCACCCGGGCCTCAGGCCAGACCCGGGCCTCCTTTTCCTGCCCCCATCCAGGCAGGAACTCGGGGTGGGGAGGGGCAGGGCTGGGCTCGGGTCCAAGGCCACATCCTGTTCAGCTCCATTCCCACGCACTTCTGGCCGCTTCCCGGGGGGCTGATGTGGAGGGGGCCTCGGTCAGCTGGAGGCCAGGTCCAGGGTCCCCGGCGCCCCCTCCGGCCGGGGTCCTGGCAGAGCGAGGACCCGATTCGGGCCTCCTAAGTCACGTGACTTCAGGTCCAGGGACTCCCGCTCTGTGCCTCAGTTTCCCCGCCTGCACCTACCTCACAAGGTTGTAGTGAAGACAAGGGGTCATATACGTGCAGGGCTGAGAACACAGCCTGGCACAGAGCTGGCGCTTAAGGACTGAGTGGCTTTTGGAGCACCTGGGTGGCTCAGTCGGTCAAGCGTCCGACTTTCGCTCAGGTCATGATCTCACGGTTCGTGGGTTCGAGCCCCGCGTCGGGCTCTGTGCTGACAGCTCAGAGCCTGGAGCCTGTTTCAGATTCTGTGTCTCCCTCTCTCTCTGACCCTCCCCTGCTCAGCTGTCTCTCTCTCTCTCTCTCTCTCTCTCAGAAATAAATAAAAAAACATTAAAAAAAATTAAAAACAAAAAAAGGACCAGGTGGCTTTGAATAACGAGAAACGGAAGTCTTGTTTGCCACGTCAAAGCGCACGGACGACCTCGTGGGTCGCGGGGCCGCATGTGGGGCTTGAGGAGCGGGGCCCCAAGGGTGCGCCCACCCCACAACCCACGTGGGGCCTCGCGGGTCTGGAGGGACGCCTGGGTCAGCACACTTACTTCAGCGACAGACATTTGACCAGGATCCTCTGTCCAAAGTGCTCGCGGGGCGGCTCGGGGCGGCTGCAGCGCTCCACGGCCTCATCCTGCAAAGAACCGGGGAGGGCAGCCGGGCCCGGCCGTTAGGAAGCGCCGGCAACGCGGGGCCCGCGGCCGGCTCTGCCCCCCGCCCGACTTAACTTCCTTTCAGTTCCTGTCTCTGTGCGCGGACACCTCCCGCGTCCCCAGGCCGGAATACCCTTCCTCTCCCCTCCTTGGCATCGTCCAGGCCACGGCTT